TGACTTTAGTTTATCCAATACAACAGACGCTGCTGCTCCTCGGAGTAGCTTTGAATGTATTCGTCAAAATACTTCTAGGTATTTTATAAATAGTTAAATACATACCTCTTAAAATATGATTGTGGCCTAAATATTGACTATGTTATTTATGTATAGATCATTAGAATATGTTGGTACCTTGAATAGACATATACGAGTACTTGCGAACGATGATGTATATGAAGCAACTAGACATAGAATGGTTGCTGTCGAAGAATTACATAAGAAATCATGGTATAGTTGCTATTCATTTTAAAAAATATTTTTAACCTTTTCACTTATAATTTTATATTAATGGTTATTTTTTGGATGTAATGTTTATTCTCTAATGTTATAGTAAATAAACAACCAAAATGTAGTACAAAAACATTGACTAAAAATTAAAATTTCATCATTAGTATTTTTAAAAATAAAAAGTTGATTTTGGTTTTACCAACAAAAATAAGGACAAATACATAATTAAAGATATTTAAATTGCATGTTTCTTAAATTTAATTGAAAAGTATAGTAGAAATTATAGCTATAATTAGACATTTTTTTTTCTTTTTTTTCAGTACACGGGAAATTGAACTCGACAGCAAATCAGCTCTTAGTCGCAAGATCCGAAAAAATCCTGCTCAAATAAGAGCTAACCGTCATAATAATAATTCTTATAATAATGTTAATATTACAAATAACGTTCCAAAACCTATAATTTCCAAACCTATACCCCCACATATCCCTTTACCTGCCAATCATGCATCAGATATTAGCAAAAAACCATTAAGAGATAGAATTATTCATCTTTTAGCATTAAGGCCATACAAGAAACCAGAATTAATTAGTATATTAAATAGAGGTTTGTTAAATATTTTAGTATGTTTATAATATGATGTTTGTTTAAATTACTAATTTTACATTTTTTAGATGGTTTGAAAGATAAAGATAGAACACAAATAATGTCAGTTCTTAGTCATATAGCACTATCAAAAGATAATGCATACTATCTATTAAGGCATGTTTGGAATGATGTTCAAGAAGACTGGCCATTTTATAGTAGTCAGGATCTTATTGTATTAAAACGGTAAATACAATTTTATATTTATTTTATTTCTGAAAAATAATGCTTTGTCAAATCAACAAGAAAACACCATTTAAACAAAAATAATACAAATAATTATTTGTTCAATAGTTTCACTATTGTTATTAATTTAAAAAAATGCAAACATATTATATAAGAATTTGAAAAGTTAATTCATATTTATTTCACACATTTTACAAATAAAACACTGCATCAAAAAAATCTAAGTATGACCAATTAAAGTGCAAAATGTACATCCTATATTTTGGACAATTGTATTAAACTCTGATTTTTACTTATCTAAAAGTATTATATTATGATAAAATGCTATAAGTATTTAATATGAGTAAGGGAGGAATTTAATAAAACTAAGTAGTAATGTTAACAATTTTTATAATTCATAAATTTGTATGATATGTAAGCTATATGCCTACATATGTAGCAATTATTGTTACAAGTTAACTCTTCAAATACAATATGATATTTTAAACTCTGTTGTATAATTTATTTATTATGTCATAATTGAAATATTATTTTTTTTCTCTAATTATAATAAAATCTCAATAATCCAATATTGAATACTGAATATTATGTCATTTATTTCTAGCCCTTGAAACATATTTACTAAATATTCTATGTAGAATCACTTAATTATTATTTTTTTTTAAAACTATATTAAGTACCTAATTATCGAGAAAAAATGAGAAATAATTATTTTCATTAAATCTGAACATTTTAAATTATCAATATTAGTTTTTGTACATAAACAATATTTTTATATTAAAAAACATTTTGATATATAGACGGAAGCCTCAAAATTTAACACCTCCTGGATTAAGTGATACTGGAAGCTCTGGCAGCAGTGAACAATCCCCAAGTAGCACCGTTCCGAGTAGTCCTCCTAATAATGTACATGGTAACAAAAGACCTGGTTACTACAATAGTGCGGATGGTTTCCAAACAAAAAAATTGCGTGTTTCACATTTCAAACGACCGTCCCCTGAGAAAAAAATGTTATCGAATAGTCCTCCACCAATTGTATCTAGTACTCAGTCAACTATACGATCACCTACTCATGCACCATCTCATACTAATCCAATACCAAAATATATTCAGTAAGTATATTATCAAAATTCTTAAATGAGTACTAAAATATTATTTTGATTATAAAAACATATTAAACTTTCAAAATGTTTATTTCTATTTTCAGAGATTTTGTAAGAATAACAAACAAAGAGCAAAAGAAACAATATAAATCAGAATTCATGAAATGTCATAAAGAATACAAACACCTGGCTGAAATTATGGATCCTGTTCGAAATAAATTTGCTAAGTTAAAAGATCGTATGTTGCTTTATCCTAAAGGCTCAAACGAGTATAAGGTATAAATTATCTTTTTGGTCTAAGATTTATTTGATTAATAATATAAACATGTTTTGTAGATTTTAGAAAACCAAATATTACAAGAATATAATGAAAGAAAACATGATGATAAGTATCAAGCAGCTAAAACACGTTTTGACTACCTTCATAACAAGTTGTCTCATATTAAATCTCTTGTGCACGAATATGATAAAAATAATCCAGTGTTGATATGTTGATATGAGCCTAATGAGATAACTTTTAATGATTTATTGTTTTTTTTTTGTGGGGGGGGCTTGGTATTCAAATTTAAGATCTATTCAAATGACCGTTAAAAAGATGATTGTGTTACAACTTAGCCAGAAATATTTATTTTATTTTTATTTTTGTTTGTATTAAAGTTTAACACTAAAGATCAAAAATGTTTATCACACAAGTGCTTGTTTTCTTATTTTGGATGAGCTTGAAGTATGGCAGCTGTATACACGTGTAACTAATTGGTTTCCTATTGGCTGTTCGGAAACATGCATTATATTGTTAACTTAAATTTAGACATGTCTATATACGACATGTATCCATTTATATGCCATGCGATTGGTTTCAATTATGTTGGTGTATGCATATTATACAAAAATTAACTTTTTTTCAATTACATATATTGTATAAGTGTATGATGGTAATTATCAATTTGATATTGAAATGAATACGTATTACGTAGCAAGTTTAAATGTTTTTCTATTTTTTTTATTTTTATTTTTTTTATTATTATTATGTTATAAATATTGTTTTTTTATTTTTATGATTAAAAACAAAATCCAAGTCTCACAAACAGTGAGGACTTAGTATACATGTTAATGTTTTGAAACTATTAAATTTAGGTTTTACACTGGTATACAATTTTGAATTGAATTTAATTTTTGTTAGAATTTAAAGTCATTAATATTTACTTATCAAAAAAAAAAGATTTATTAATTTATTTTATTATCAGCCTAAGACTTAAAAAAAAATTTATATTATTTTTTTAATTAACAGACATCAAAAAGCAATTTTAGAAACAAATAAATATTATAAAAGCAAAACAAAATTATCTCAAATATTGTTTTTGATTTTGAGAGTACAATGAAATAGAAATAAACAACAGTGATGTGTTTTTAAAAAAAGAAAAATATTTATAATTAGTGGCATAGCCAGGGGGTTTGTATGCTTCAACAACCCCTCTCCACCAATTATCATTTTTGCCCCTAAATATGTTTAATTTATATGCGAATACTATAAAAAACTTGGTTTAATTTATACTTAACTTCTTTGCCCCATTTCATAATCTTGGCTATGCCACTGTTTTTAACAATAATAAATTAGTAGATAGATATAATTATTTTAGTTTAGGTTTTTAGCTTAAAATTATTATTTAAAAAAAACATTAATCAAGAACACATTGAACGATTTAATTATAATTTATTACAAGTAGGTATTGACATTTAAACTTGCTATGTCTAAAATAATAATGTATGGTACAATTTGGGAAGCTCATTCATCAAATTAAATGCACAGTAATAAAATATCAACCAAGACTTGTATTTGTTAGGGTTATACATTATTATTATTTTTTAACACTGTGATATCTAGAATGTTTTGCCCTAAATAAAAATTATTTAAAGACTGAAATTTGGACCATATAACCGTATATTTTTTTTATCAACAATAAACATTAATTATAAGTGGAAAAGAAAACATTTCAATTTTTTTGCTCGGTGACAAAAAGTATGTATATCATAATATGTGTGTGGTTTACATGGATTAGGCATTAGATTAATTAAGAATTATAAATTATTATTATGACGAGGTTATATGTTGCTTTTAAAATATATTGTTCATGTAAAATGTTAAGGAAAATGTACAAGACCATTGGCAACTGCAATTTATATATTCCGGCTTAAAAATCTATTAATATGTTTTTTATGACCAAAAAGTAATAGATCCAAGACCTCAAAATCTCTTCAATGGTGTCTTGATTTTTAAATTAATTTTTTTAAATCTGTATAGGGATTACACTATAGCTAAACTAAACACTAAACTTACATAAAATGGTAATATTTACTCAAGTCAATTAGATGATTTTGCAAAATAATATTTTTGTGATAAATTCACACAATTTTAAATTTCTGTACCTTAGACATACAACTAAAATTTACAACAAAAAACCTGATTTTAATAGCCAAAAATAGTGTTTTGGAAATGGGTCAGTTTCATAGATATAAGCCTAAGCTAAGGTTATGAGAAGTACTCAAAGAAGAAATCTTTTTCAGAATAACTAATCATCAATAATGAGTTTTGAGTGCAGGAATTTTATCCTACAAAAAGAAGAAATGTCACATAAACATTAATCAATCATTGTGTAAGTTTAAAACTATTAAATAATTAATCTTGCATATTTTCATCTTAGTTGTTTACTTTGTAGAAATATGGATCTAAAAATGTGTAGAATAAATTTGTGTGCAGTAATATATATTATACAGTTTAACATTTGAAACGAAGATCATTTAATCAAATTTGGGTTTATGTATTAAAAACTAAAAACGGTCTATACATAGTAAAATTAATTTAATCTAAAATATTAAAAAAATCCGCATATATATTGAAATGAAAAGCTTAATACTTTGAAAGATGTGTTTTTTGGATGGCTAGGGGTACCAAAATCCACAATACATTCCTTATACATTTAAATTAAAAACATTATTTTCTAGGTTTTATCAAAACCTGGAGTATAAAAAAATAAAAATAAATTTATAATTTATAATTAACAAAGTTATATACTAATTTGAAAACATATCATTACTATGTATTATTGAGCACATACACTTTTAAAATTAAATAATTTAATTTGAAAAAAAACTTGCTATTTTTGTACACGGTTAATCAATAAGCATAAAATTAGTATGAGTTTAAAAACTAAGTTATATTACAGTTTTCTAAGTTTACTTACATTTCATTGTAATTTCAGTATATTGTACAGTTTATAATAAAACTAAAATTATTAGGTAGCTAATGATAATATTTATTATGTTATTAAATGTTAAGAATATGACTAACTTCAATTAAATAAAATAGATATGTAAAATTCAAAAAAAAAAAATTTGTTTCTTCTTGTGGATTTTTACCTAACACATAACAATTACACTTTATATTATATATAAACTAAAACTAGTAAAATGTTCTTATTAATTTAAATTACATTTTTTTGTATAATATTCTATGCTTCTAGTAGTTCTATATTTTAAACAAATATTTAAAGCTGCCCGTCCATCTTCAGTTCTATAGTCTGTAATATGGTCAGATACAAATAGTGTAATAATATTTGCCATAAGATTGATTTTAGAAATTTTCTTCATCAGCTTATTCTTTCTCCTGTACAATTCAAAACACTATTTTTAATACCCAAATCTACTAAATTTAATTCAACAAGAATAAATTTGCTTTGCACATGTAAAATCACACTATAAATTTTGAATTATCAGGATTGGAAATAAACTATAAGGGCCATAGTAGATAAATAATTTGGTTGAAACTATATTCACATGGGCAAGTTGTAATATTAACATAAGTCTTTTCATGAAAAAATGGAATATAGGTAACACAAAATATTTATAGTTTTTTAACAACATGCATAATAAATTAAATAAATTATGTACCTGTATATGTGATAACAATAAATAATGGGGCACCTGGATGATGCACATATTAACTTAAAAGTAAGTAACTTATCAACTAATAAACTCACTGTATATAAATATAAATATTAATTACAAAAAACTATTTCAATTTTAACTAAGACTAGTAATATTAATCTTCAATCTATCAAACTCACTTGTTGGTATGGGTTTCATTTAGTAGAGTGATGTTTGATACATCAACACTATTCAAAACATTCGCATATACCTTGAATGAATTTACGTATGAAATAAAGCTATTATAAGGATTCACAGAAATATTTCTTATATCTTTATTAGTTTCGATTAAGCTCCGTAAGTGATCTTTAAGAAGTCTGAAAACAAATTAAATATATATAAATAATGATTCAAGCAAAATAAAATAATGAAATTAATAAGTATTACTTTAAAAAATAATGGTCTTTGTCATTGTAATTTAAATTGGTTTTTAGACGAGTTGCATACATGTTCATGGAATAAATACCATAAGTACATGCATATTCTAAAAGGTGAAGTTCCAGCATGATAAAAGATTGAAGATCATTGGATGCATATTGATATTCTGTTTGAATATCTTTAGACGGATATGCGGTTTGAGAGTTAAGGTCTGATAAACATAATGTACAGTAATAAGTATTTTGTATTTATATAGAATTAAACATTGCTCAATAACATAAATAGAAACAATGTAGCCAAAGATGTACCATTCTTAATCAAATGAATCATGTTAATGATAAATACAAAATAGATCATATACTTACCAATATCATATTTAGCACGCAAGAAGAAATATCTAGATTTCAGTAAATCAAGTAAATCAACTGCTATATCAATGTCTTCGGTTACTTTTTCCAATTCTGAACTCATAATGCTTTTAGAGATTTAAAATCTACAAAACAAAATAATTTACTCACAAAACTATTACAGTCTTAGAAAATTTAAGTAAAATCATTGATCAATTTACAACAGAAAAATAAGACACAGTGCCCATCAACAATTATATGACACAATCACACAAACTAAGAATATTATAATTAATTATAATTTATAATCATTATTAGGTAGTACTTACACGTTACACAGTTAACCGTTTCCTCGGAGAAAAAAGTAGAATAATTGATTCTATTAATAAGCAATCTTAATATATAAATAGGCATATAAAATATTAAACACTTTACAGTAGTTGCAGTTGTAATTGTAAATATTGTAATAAGTCTTGTCGGTTTTTTTCAAAGACAAAGTATGCGATAAGAAATTTTGAATTTTGGCACGATGTACCAACCTATGAAATTGAAAAAAACGTATAAAATAAGATAATGCAATCGATGAAATTGATTCAAAAATCGTGGTTTGGTATAATGTAAATTGTAAAATAATTTGTAAAGCAGACTCAACTTAGCCGAGGATAACATTCTATAGTCCGCCAAATAATTAACCTTAGAAAAGGGGGATTCATTTATTTTGAAAAAGAGATGTTTATAATACTTCCAGAACACTCGGACAGTCAATACAGGGTACAAAAACTCTCAAGAATTTGAAAAAATAGTTTATTTAATAATTCCAAACATCAGAATTTGAATAAATTCATTAAAAAGTAGCACAAATTTTTATGATCCTGCTTGGTGAATCATCCTGTAAGGCTGTATAGCTTATATAAGAATATATATAAGTATCTGAAATATATATTATAATATTCATTTGAGTGAACCATTGTTCTTTATGCAATATTCAACTAGGTAGGCATATATTAAGTATCTCAATATCTTCATGGAATCATAGATAAATATAAATATTATAAACTAAAAGGTTACTTCACTTTCAGTGATATTAACACGTTTTTCTCTTATCAGTGAATAATTGAATGGTTTGTTTATTGCACCCATAGTCATGATTGTACCGGGCCAATATACTGTGATTAGGACTTGGGTTATTTACCTTCAGTTATCACTTAAGTGTATGTTATAATTGTTGTTCCATACGGTATTAACTATTAAGCAATGAGCATGCTATTTAGACATAAGTATTTAATATTTATAGTAGGTAGTTTCAACATAAATGTTTAGTATTAGGATACACCTTGGTACCTATTTCCTAAATAGTTCATTGGTAAATACTATTAAACATTTATAATTGATGTTCCAGTGACTTGTGAAGTGTGTTTTTACTGATAAGGACCTCGGATCTGCAGACTACAGCCTACATGGCTATTTAGTTACATTACTTCATACTTAATCTGACGGTATTATTTGCTACAATCGAGTTTTTACACCGGCGTCCGGCTGGTATAGTGGTGCTCCTCGATGTGACCACTGACCGTGTTCTTAAAAGTTTCAATCATTGAATCATACATTATTCGGTTATTAAGCGTTGGCTGAGGCCTGTATATTTTAAATTGAAGTAGCACTTATTCATCTAAGATGAGTCGTGGAGGGAAATCAAAAAATGCATACCTGCCTGGAGATTTGGTGGCATTGGGTTCAAAAGCTAGTCGTGTTGAACCAAATCCACAAGAGAAACGTGGTAGTAATATTTTATTACATAGAAAGTTAATGGAATCAACACTATCTGGTAAGTTGTTTAGATTGTCCTGGTGATTGACGTTGGTCATGGTTATCAATATTAGTATTTGTTAAAATTAAAGTATCGCAGACTTTTAGCCCCTGCCGTTTCGTCTCTGTCTAAAAAACTAGCCCCTGTCTATTTTTAAGATAGAACATTTGGTCCCCGGGAAGTTACCTGATGTTCTTAGCCTATAAGAAGTTTGGTCCCTCTGTATTTTAAATTAATAAATTTAAATCACTATTTTTTTAATTTTAAATTTAAATTTAAATTAAAACATACAATTTTTTATAATTTGACATAAAAATAGTAAATTAATTTAAATTCACAATAACCGTATATTTTGTAAGCAGAACACACCAAAATCAGTGTGTGATTACAGACAAACTAAAAATAATCATTTAATAGAATTAATTAAATATAGAGAATGATATATTAAAATACTATAAAATATATATATTACCTACAATACAATTTTTATCAGTCACATTTAATTTTTTAATAATATAAGTAAACTCAATAAAAATATAACACATTTACAAATGTACAACTATCAAACATTTGTTGATTGGTGAATATTGTGTTTGGATAACATTAAAGTGTATTTTCTAAGAAAAATTATTTTTAAGAAACACTATAAATATCTTTATAACTTTATCGATAGATATTTATTTTAATTAAAAGTCTTCTTGTCAGCAAATGGTATTGCTAGACTATTATTTATATTTTTTGAAAAATAATAAATGATTTTAATGTAATAAAAGTTATAATATTTATATAATATAATTATACTTAAAATATTAATATTATTATTATTTTGTGAAATTACCAATTTTGTATAAGCTTGCTTTCATTTCAGTATTTTATTCTTTGGATGTGGCCATCCTCACTTATTAATATAAGTTATTATACTGACATTTTACTTATTAATACAAAAAAATTGAAATTTTAAATTTAAAAAAAGCAATTTCAAATACCGAAGGACCCAACTTCCTATGGTTTAATAACATCATATAATCCCAGGGCTAAATGTCCTATCTCCAATAATAGACGGGGGCAAAACATCCATGGCCTCGTTTTTTTTTTTGTTGACAGAGGCAAAACATCCGTTTACCACCTTAATATATTTGGTTTCTATACTATGTGTAGAACACCATAAGTGATAGTAATTATTGCGTTTGTCCATAGAAAACAAAAATCTCATTATTTTGTTAAAGTTTATTAATTTAGTTATATTACTAGTATAGATTGTATATTCTCTAATAAAAAATTTTTAAAAAAAAAGTTATATTACTTAGAAAATACACAATAATTATGCATTAATTATAACATTTAAAATTAATATTATGATTTTACCATTTTAAATTTAGATAGAAAACGAACTGGACCCCCTATAGCTGCTATACCTAGTAAAAAGCCTAAACATGCAGGCTCTAGTCATAGTTCATTTGCTTGGGAACAGATGTGTATTGAAGTTGATTCTATCGACTTAATTGAATCACTAAGTTATTGTATTCAAAATCAGGAAAATCTAAAAGCTGTAAGTCTATAAATAAAATTTATACTATAGAATACAATGAATAATGTATGAAATATTTGATTAGTTTGTTTATTATCAAGATAGTAGACAAATCTTAAGTATTTATCATATATTTTGCTTGTTACGTGTGCAAGTAAGACTTTCGATAAAAGTCATAAACCCAATTATTATGCTTTTGTAAATGATAGTAGTTAACACCTTTTTTATTAAATAATGTATTAAATTATTGTACTTACTCCATTATATTTTAGGTTGGATTACTTTTTGGAGCTTTTAAAATCATGCACACACAGCGATTAAAACCAGATTTATTTTGGAGTTTATTAATTGCTGCTCGTCAGTTTCCTACATTATTTCATAATGAAGAAATTATAAATGCTTTGTGCTCCATCCTCACTTGTCATTCAGTTGCTTCAACTAAACAGCGTCAATATAACATAGTAGCTGCAATTACTTCTGTTAATTTATTAATAGTATCACATGATAAGTTATGTAACTGGCCAGAAGCATTTGTTAAGGTAGGTACTTAAGATATAATTAAACCACTTTTGTAAATAATACCATTATTTATTTATTTTAAGGTTTTTGTAGAAGACTCAATGGGTGAACGTTTGTGGGTAGATAATGAAGAATGTCGACATTTTGTTGAAAATATAAGAGTTAGCTTCAATACACGTCCTTCACCTTTTATTCCTTTGGATTTTTTGGATACAATGAATACACCAGAAACAGCAGTATTTTCAGCAGAAACTTATGAAGTTTCTGTTGTGCCAAGATATGGAGCTAATCAATCAGTAATTGAAAATATAATTTTAGACATCGCCAAAGAATATTTAATCAGAAGACAATCAACTGAAGGAATATCCAGAAGCTTGTTAAAATTATTATCTATTGCTGCTGGAATTTTGGAGGTCAGTTATTACAATTGATACTATTTTATGAATACTTAAAATTTAAATTTTAGATTCGGGTCATGGTTGCGGGTAAATTGGAAGTTTGGTTACAAAATGCTAAACTTGTACGGCCAGCCCAAGAATTACTTTTAGCAGTTTGTGTTAACTGTACTTCACGCACTCAAAGAGACTTTGATGTTATTTCAACTATCGTCAAAATGAGATTAAAAACAAAAGCCATGGGTAACTTTTATGTATCATGTATCAAGTAAGTAAATAAAAAATGTATAATTTTTAAATAATTAAAATTTGAGTAAAAAATTGTACAATAATGTCATTGAATATTAAATTTTTTAGAGAATTGATTTCAATAAATTCATGTAATTTGCCAGTTATATTAAAAAATGTAGTTTATAATGAAATGTCTACCTCGCGAAATACAAGTAATATGGCAATTTTTCAAGTTATTTTCAAAACTGAACCAGATCAAAGTGCATTACTTTTAGCTGACATTTTTCAGGTTTGTGAATTCTTAAAATACTTATTCAATATTCTTGTATACTAATAAATAATAATTTGAATTCATAATTAGGAATTATTGATATTGCGAGATGATTATTTGAGACCATTACGCGGACTTCTAAGAGAAATATCACGCCAAGTTCGGTCCGATTTCAACTTTTTAACTTTTTGTCAAGGTCTTATAGGTGCCAAAGAACCATTAAATCAGACTCCTGAAGTTAAGGATAGAGTTTTTGCTGGAATTATAGATCTTTTAACATTGTGTATATTTTTAACTGTGTACCCTTATTTGCGTTCAGAACGAAAAGACATTGTACAGGTAAAAAAATAAAAATAATTATTTTATAAAATAAATAACTAGTTGTTGTTTTTTTAGTTTGAAAAAATGCAACAAGTTATTTCAAAAATTCAAAACGATGGAGTTGTATGGCTCCAGGATAGTGTTTTAAGAACTTATCGACCTGCTCCTACTGATTTTGTTCATGCATTACATAAAGTATATATTTTATTTATTATTTATTGAATTTCTTACCTACTATTTTTATGTATATTGCATTTTTTTTATTAAAATGATAATGCTATAAGTTTTATTTAATGGTTTTAGATATTGTTAATGGAGGCATCTGAACAGTATTATAAATTAGAAAGTTGGCCTCCTGAGCAAGATAGAACAACAATATTTAGAATTGCTACTGAAGTACCATTGCTACAAGGTACAGTTATAACAATACTTATGATTGGTTTATCAAAAGAACACCCTTTGAACTCACCAGACGCCTTGGAGTTGGTAGATCAATTGGTAAAACGAGCTGCTTCGCTACAAGTGTATCAGAATTGTAATGCCATTAGAGGTAAATATCTATAGATATATGTTCTAAACACAATTTGATTTTAATTAACTAACCATACTATTTTTAGCTGACAAATGTGAATTGTTTGAAATTTTATTGGATTCATGTGCATATCATCATCCTGATAAAATTGAGTTACCATTAGGATATACACCTCCTCAATTAGCCATATCAAATTTATATTGGAAAACATGGTTAATAATGTTAATTTATTGTGCTCACATACCATTAGTTTTTGGAACTCTAGCCTGCCGAAAATATCCAATGTTAAGAATATTTATTGAGATGTGTATTACAAATAATTTTTCTTTTCCCACATTCCTGGAAGATCTTCAATTGCAGTCAGTCGAAAAACAAAAAATACTTGAATTTGAATCTTATTTGGCTGCCGCTTCTACAAAAGTCACAATAACTGAACAGACGAGTTTACTGTTAAGTCAACTTATGGGTATGGATCCTATTGGTCCACCTAGGCGTCCACCATCGTCTGTATTAGAACAACTAAGAGTTATGAATACAAACTTACATATTGGTCACTTGTTATGCCGATCAAGAGACCCTGATTTTCTTTTGGACATTATTCAACGCCAGGGAACTTCACAGTCAATGCCCTGGCTGGCTGATTTAGTAAATTCATCTGAAGGATCATTAAAGTAAATATAATTTATGATTTCTAAGAGTTGTAATTTGTTTGTTATTAAATTGTTACTTTTTAGTCATTTACCTGTTCAGTGTTTATGTGAATTTTTATTGAGTCCAAGTTGTCGACAACAAGGTAAATTTAATCAATTACTAAATCATTTGAGAAAGCTGTTAATGCATCCAGAAACTGATCCAATTATAAGTTGTGAAGTTTTGGAGTATTTTTTGAGACGCTTAAGTTCTCCAACAAGTAGGCAACACGCTATTTTAGTAAGTAAAAATTCAGATTGTATATTGTTAAATAACTACTACATTTTGAGGAAGATTATAAATTGTTGATCTACTTTTTTTTTCATGTTCTTATTTTTTCCTTAATTGTACTTTATTAAATTTCTTAAAATTAATATTGAATTTTGATTTTTAAAGGGCTTAAAATTACTATTAAATGAAACTGACGATAAAATTATTGATGTTGATAAAGTAATTGAATCAAAAACTGATGTTTCGTGGTTATTAACAAGTTTACCACAGCTTCCAAATTTTCCAGCTTTTAAGTCCCAAGTAAGTGTTTTAGTTAAACAATTTACAATTCAATTTTGAGCTCGATCAAGTGAATTTTTCAATGTTAAATATTTTTAGATTGTTATAGCTCTAAGACAAGCTTGTCAAGTAGAAAATGATCCACATTTAATAACAGCATACTTGACGTTTCTGGCAGAACGGACATCTGATGTGGACAAGGTAGATAGCTTAACTAATGAGCAGCTTACTGACATGGTGCTTGATATGGCACAATTAATTGTTGAACGGAGTACAGTTATGGCTGCAGTTCTACCTATATCAACAGATACAGTTACGGTGTTCAATATTGCACTAAATTCTTTAGTCAACATATTTTATACGTTTTTAAGCCGGGTTAGTTTATTTTTATCAAAGTATAACTTTTCATTTATGAATATATTGATTATTGATAATAGGCTAGAGAACCTTGTCGTCAAAATCATCCTTGGTCAGAGAATCAAGATCAAATTCTCGTAACATGGCCTGGTGGTCAAGAATGCACTTTACACATTCTGGTTGTACATGCTATGATTATACTGTTGACTTATGGTCCTCAGTGTATTCATGATCCATTGAAATTTGATAATTTGTTAGAAGCTTGGTTTCCAACAGACCGAAAACAAATGCCTAAAGTAAACCATAATTTACCATTTAAAATTGCTTAAATATTGTTAACTATGTTCAGCCCAGCGAGAAGACGAAACTCGTTAGCACATTTCAATGATCTACTCCTCCATCTAGAGGTGAAATTCTTCCACCATGCCAAAGCCTTTTTGCTTTGTCACTGTCTACAACAGTGTTTGATTCAAACAGGCTGATCAAGTGGTGGGAATGCTCAGAAATTGACGAGTTTTGGTTGCTGCCTAGTTGCGTTCTCTCGCTGGACGTAGTAAGTTATTCAACAAAATACAATTATGTGTTTTTTTTTTACAGGCTTATTTGGTTGATACATCAGAAGAAGCATTACTCATACCTGATTGGCTTAAGCTACGTATGATTAGGTCGAGGGTTCCTAGGCTTGTAGAAGAAGCATTGACCGATCTTGAACCACCTCAGTTAATATTATTTATTCAATCATTTGGGATACCAGTCGCTTCTATGAGGTAAGTTTATACAATAATATAGAATTTGGAACCGCTTAGAATTCTTTTGAGACATGGAAATTAAAATTGTAATTAGCAAACTATTGGACATTTTGGACAAAGCCGTGTGTATTGATCAAGAAGCCATTAAAGCTGCTGTTATGGATAAAGCTTATATGGTTCAACTTGTTCAAGTACAGCAGAGACGTGGAGCACAGGGAGGTCAAATATTCTCATCTGTTTTAACATCAAATGAAGAATCAACGATCATGGCAGTAGAAGACAAAAAACAACCGTCTGATAGATTAAACTTAAAAATAAAAGGTATTTAATTTTGTAAATAAATAAGAATTTTTAATCATATCATTTTTAAACCAATAATTGTATTGTTTTAGACGATCCTATTAGTTTATTAGAAAGACATAAAAATATAAATGTTGATTTAATCATAAAAAACCTTTTTACTTCTAAGATGGAGGGTGAAGAATTTTTATCATTGTTACAAGTATGCTAAATAGTTTTATAATTTTACATTGCATATATTTTAATAATTAATATTTGCAGTCACTATCGCAAGATCCAAAATCACTAGCTCAAAGGTTTATGCTTGCAATGTTAAAAAATATGTCAAAAAGTAAAGGATTTATGCGTTCTGTCGTAGCAAATGAAAATATAACATGCCATTTACTTAAAGTGTTGATGATGAAATGTGGTTTCAACAAAATATTATTGTCTATTGTTAAATTGATGCTGGTTCAATTGAATTTGAAGAAAAAACAAAATAATTTGCTTACAATTGTATTAAATTATAAAAACAAATATGGTTTGTTATTTTAATTTTTTCCATGAAATTTATGTTTTGTTTTAAAAAAAAATCCTTTTAAGCTAAACTGCATTTGGTTTATCTATAATTCTTCCAGTGTTTGATTGTCTAATTTAAAATTTTGGTTTAGTGGAGAAAAATAAAAAGACACCTCAAAAAAACAAAACAACAAATGATTCAGAATTGATGGAAGTAGATAATTTAATTAAAGGACAAAAACGTTCACTTTTTGTAGATCTGCCAAAAGAAATTGAATTAAAAATATCTGATTTAACAATTGATCAACAGGTAACATTACAATTTAAGTGTAGCATTTAAATTATAACTTAACATTGTTTTTTAGGTTAATATGTTGTTTTCAAAGACAACTAGTGAGAAATGGAATTCTGTAAGAAAATGCAGACCATACTTATTAACATTACTCAATCACCACATGAATTGGTCATCGTTGGAGTGTGTTTTAGATATTCTATTACAGCTAAACAATGTTGAAAAGTTAGTTACTAATTAATTTATATTTTGTTTTTAATAATATTAAAACTAATAAATATAGACAGTACACTTTTTTTTTAATATAAATTATAAAGATAAATATATTTTTTGACTAAACCTTTTAAATGCCACCCATTATATAATTGTTGAAAATGTATTCATTAATTATTTTTATTTTATTTTTTAGATTTGAACCTTCATCTGTTCTTGATTTAATATCTGCTATTACAACAAATCCAAAACTATGGCAAGGTAGAGAAATGAATGCTTCCAAAAGTAGATCAAATGAAGGGTTAATGTTATTGAACCATGATCAGGTGAACTATTAAAACTGAAATTATTTTATTTTGATAACAAAACTAACTTCTCTATTTCTATTGGCGGACTGCTTTTCTTCTACTGTTATGAATATATCAATTGCTTCTACTAATATACTCATTATTATACAAAATTCCTATAGATAATATCTAAATTTTAAATAATACAAAATGTTGATATTGGTAATTTAAAATTTAGTATAAATATTATTTCATTAGGTTTTTTTATTTTTGAATAAAAATAGTACTAAATATTTAATTACAATCATGTAGTTCTAATTTGAAGATATTTAATGTTTTTACTTTCTAAGCATTTAATTTTAATTTTTTAACTTGGTAATAGTTGAGTATTATAATTTAATTAAATTAGGTCAAAAATGTTTATTTATTTTATACTTTGTAAGTACTGACAAAATAGTTAATGGCATTTGTGTAATTGTTTGTACTTATACTATAAAAATTTAATATTTATTTTATTTTTAAGCTCACTGCTCTGTTATTGTACATGATTGAAGAGTGTAGAGTTAAACATGAAGATTCAAATATAACTTGGACAGAATTATCTGCATTCATGCTAACCAAATTATCAGTGATATTGAAAAACTGTTTGGCCAAAAATGACTGTGTCGAAATCTTTCACAATATTTATTTGAAATATATTAACAAGTAACTATTAAATAAACTATTGTAAATCTTCATCGCTGATTCATCAACCTTTTGTGATTTTTTCAGTTCGAACATTGCAGTGTTCAAACAAATTTTAAGTCTTGTATACACAAATGATCCAAATATCATAAGTAAATTACAATATTATGATATGGATGGCTTCTTGGATCCAATTATTATAAAAGGTATACATCAGCTTCGGCTTATGATTGATTCAATAATGTTTAAATCAAATTGTTTTTAATCTGACAGAAAGTGAAGGATGTGCTTTGGATTCAATTTCACACACTGTTGTGTCATCAATTGTGTCCACTAAAATTAAAAGGGACAAAGAATTGAATAAAAAAATATATGATTATGAAATACTCGCTAAGCGGTTATGTACCACTCACCCACTTTTGTTCTTAAGGTAATAAATTATAATTTATTTTATTTGACCTTGGATTTTTATTTATACATTTTTATTCCAGGGTATTTGAACTACTATCAGCCCCATTGCGTAGGTGTTGTTACCTCGAGTTTAGAGCAATGAAATCAGGTCATCTATTATTACTCAATAATATTCTCGATTTATTAGAAAGTTTAGAGCCAACAGTGTATTTGCCATTTTACACGGACTCTCTTCACAAACTTTTGGGAATTTTCTTGACCATTATTAGTGTAATTGTCTTAGTTAATTGTATAAAGTGTATAATTTTGCTTTACTTAGATGCAAATCAATTGAACATTTTTTCATTTTTAGAATAATTTAAACGTGAGCGCTGCAAGAAAAGAATTTAATACACTTTTATCAAAATTTGGTAACAGGGTACAGAGCTATATAGCTGCAAATTCACAAGATGCTATGGTGTTTATTAAATCCAATATTATGTGGTTTGGGTAAATATTATTTTATTAAAATATACTACGCATATAATCTACACATTTGATTAAAATAACTTTGTGAATTGTTTTCTTTCCAGTAATGTTATTGAGAGGTACAAAACTATTGGAAATTTGAATTTATTAATTAGTCAAAATGATCAAGTGATTGTCTTACAGCCACCAAATGAAACATCAAATGATTTGCCATATGATCACTTCTTTAGTTGTTTTAAGGATTCTGGTAATTTGAATCTCTAAGTTTTTATCAAATATTAACATTATTTATTAATTATTTGTATTAATTATTTTTAAGATTCTGCAACCAATTTATTATCTGACATGGAACGTTCTGCCTATCGTAGTAATCGAGCATTGGAGCCATTTTTAAATAAAGTCACCTCGTTGATCAGGAATCCTAGTTCACATTTACGTTTACCATCTCTTGGACTATTATTGCATTATTTACAATTTAATAATAGTAACTTGTCTACAAACTCTGTGTTGGTACCAGCAATATTGAGTGCACTGTTGTCCGATGATGATGAAGTTTCTAGCACAATAAGGAATCATATTGATTCATTATCTATGTCGAGAGGTAATTTATTTATAATTATAATTTTTTCCTCATTTTTTTTCATATCAATTTTTGGTCTTCTTTTTACTTTTATAAATTATTTTATCTACCTATATATCCCTCTTCATTTTTAGTTTTAGATTGATCATCATTAAAACTAATTATTACATAGTTTATAGGGAGTTATCCTACGAGCATGATCACCCCCATCTTTTCATTTAATAATGAATTTATTCAAATTCCTATTTTTAAATAAATTTCAAACCAAGACAATTTTTACATATCATTAATGTTAATAAATTAATATTAATTTTTAAAATTCTTGAATCACCATAACTGCCATATCTTTCAAATCCTTCAACATGGACCCATTAACCTTAATATTTCAAGTTAAATAACTTAAAAACTACTCATTAATATATATTATTATTCACTTACTAATTTGTAGTATAAAAAAGGGTTAAAATTTAAAAATGAATATGGTCATTAAGTATACTTAAAAATTGCAAAATGCAGTATTATTGAGGAAATAAATGGGAGAAGTGGTGCTTGTCGAGTGCTTACTGAATTACACCCTCTATGCATTTTCTTTTATAAAAAGTACTTTATATTTAGTGTTAAATTATTTTTAGAAATGGCATTGTCTCTGTTACTGGAAACATTCAATGTTGGCATATACAAAAGTTTGAACACGACCCCCATGATTACAAAAACAATTTCTACAATGAATCTTCAGTCTGGATATTAAAACTGTGTTGGAAAATGTGTATTACTATTATTCTTTGATTTTATGCGTTTTTAAGTTTTAACTGAGCTATCAAGAAATATGTTTTTTTGTTAGATACAATAATACATTAACACTTAGCCATTGATATAACAAGTATTGATTTAATAATAAATGTTTCAAACAGACAAAAGTTTACGACAATAAAAATAATTTTAAATGATAATACAATACCATTAAGGTTGGTAGGATTATTTTATATAAACGAATTAAAGTATTAAATCTCAATCAAGCGTTGTTAATTTTAATTTTTGTTTACATTGAAGCTTAACAAATGTATAATTTTTTTTTTCACTGTACAATAATTATTAGCTGTAACACAAACATTAAGTTATACTGTGAAAATATTTTTTTTGTATAATTATAATAATAATAATAATAGTAATATTATGTACAAATCCATTTTAATTATGTAATATTAAATGTTAGATTTTTAATCTACTTTCTTTGATGAATAATATGAAAAACATTTTATCATGTTCCTTTGATGGCATAGGGGTATGAGTGACAGATCCCTCCAGGTCCTCTCTTTTTAGTCTTTTTGACAGGTGTTTTTACATAAGTGTTTTCTATGCACTTATTACAGTGAGTGTAAAATAGTATGTGTTTTGTAATAGTTAATAAATCATTTTTTATTTATCATATTTTTATTTTACTTAGTAATGATTCAAAAAATTTATATTGGCCCGGACAATCAATTTGTTAACGCTGGACTTAAATGTTTTTTAGTTTGAAAACTGAATCATTCATTACAGAAGTGTTAATTATATTTTAGTTAATATTGTTTTATATTATGAGGAATAAAATAATTATGGTAAACTATAAATCAGTACTCAGTTGTAATAAGACAGTGTCGAACCCTAATGTGTATAAATTGTCTTTTTAATTTGTACATCCATAATAATTATATGTAATACCTAGTAATTATGGTCGTTTTTCTTGTCTTATAGGTCAAGCAAAATTAAAGATAATTGATTACAGCTAATGAATAATTTATTTAAAATGTATCAAATATCAAGTCCGATCACTCATATTTAAGTCTAAACAATAATTATCGAGATAAAAATGTTGATAAACATTGAAATTTTAAAATTTTAAAAACATGCAAATAAATGTAGATTTTCAATTTTGTATTAAATCCAATAAACGTTTCTAATTTGAATACAAGTCAGGAGGAGTTTAGGACACAAAACATTTGATATAAAGTTTTTTATCAATATTTATTATCTCTGCTAATTATACTACAAAAATGTACTAATAATAAAACTTAGACCGTATTTTGATTATAATATAGTTAATACTATAAATGGTTGATATGGTATTCAACTAATGAAACTATGAAGTAAAAATAAAGGTACTAACAACGTTTACAATTAAACAACACATTTCACATAGGTGGAAAACAAACATTCTGATAGGAAGGCTAAAAAAAAAAAAAATAATAGTAATAAGTATAATTATTAATTATTAATAGATATTCTATTCTATATCTTCTTATTAATATTATTGATGCTCTACAATTCAAACATTGTATCATACTACACATACTTTTAGTGTCTACAATAACTTTATAAGATTAATGATATCGTAACACAGTTTTAATTTAATAATCTATTATGTCATATTTTAGTTTTAAGCAGTAACAATGTTAAATTTCAATAAATTAAGTAAATTTTGTTACCAAAAAAATTGAAAATAAAAATATTGTAAGTGTTGACGCGGAAATCATAATATATTTCAAGATATTAATACATTGATTTTGATTGTCAAAGTAAAATAAAAAAAATTAACATAATTGACTTAAGTTAAGGGTTATAGGATAAGGTAACTTTATGTTACATAAATTATTATGAATAATACAGTATGTGTCTTGCAACAGTTGCAACTTAATAAGTACAACATCAAACAGCAAGTTTTGTGTTTTAGGCTCAATGTAAATATATTTTCTTACAGTGTAAATATATTCAAATTTCATAGATTAAAGATTTAATCCATCAGTCAATTTTGAAGTAAAACTTGAAGTTTATAAATGTATTATTTTTAGTATCAAGAATTTGAGAAGTGAAAAAGGTAACTTTAATTTATAGACTATTAATAAATAATATTTGAGTTAATTATTATGCAACCAGTTTAATAATACAATGCTTATCACAACACAATACATGGCCCCATAAAATTATATATACGTCATACTATTATAGAAAAAGTATGAATATTGGTTAAATTGATGATAATTGGTTTCTTTCATTAGTAAATATCTCATTGTTTAATCAACAATTATATTGTCTTGAATATGGAGTCGATTGGACCTTTATTAGAAAAGAAACATTTTAATCATGCTTGAAGTTAGACAGTTAATATATAATATAACCTACTAGGGATAAAGTTAATTGATATTAGTGAGAAATGGTATTATGTATATATTACAATAAGCAGTTAATATGACTTAGTTTGATTTTTAACCAATAAGAATTCATACTTTAAATACAACATATTACGACGTATAAATCATACTTAAATATCAATAAATGTTCCATCATAAACAAAGGAATTTAACTTTTAATCTGAATAAATGGAATGACAATTTCCCTTAAGATGATTAGGTATTAATTACACATTCAAAAATAATAATTATGATTTTTTTCTTTAACAGATATAACTTAAATATTAAGATAAATAATAATTAATATATTTTGCACCAATATTATATACTTAAATACTAGATTCATAGTATTTATGGTAATGAAACAGACACTTATTAATTGTTTATTGCTAAAATATTTTTGAATGGCACTTAAATTATGATTATTATTTATTAACATATTTTTGTAGATAATAATAGTTTTTGTATATTGTGTAATATAGTAGGTAACTTTATGGAGACTTCTTTAGTCCAACTAGTTTTATTATATTTTTTTTTTCCAATTTATTATGATTTGCATTATTTAGAGGTAAGATCTTGAAATCTTACACATATAGTTGTCATGAAACGCCTAAACACACCTTTAGCTCGATTCTGCCATTCATTAATTTTCTTTAAATTTGATTCAACTATAAAATTATAAATCAGATTAGTAAAATATCGTTCAATAGTATTATGACATCTAAATTTCGATCTTACATAAATGAGATCCTCCATTGCATTTGGTCTGAAAATAAAATAAATTTAAATTTAATATATAATAAAATAAAATTGACTAACAGCAAATTTTAACTTAAAATACTTTCATTTTAGATGTTTATTAATTATAAATAACAAATTTCAAATTTAGATCTGTGAGCATCTTGCCCCATTTCTCAAAAATCTATGAAAAACTTTAAACCTATCCTCTTAGGATTTCGATATTGATTGAACCATAGCACAATACAACAAGTTATAAATGCCGTTTCCACTTAACTAAAAAGAAAACGATGTTGCAAATGTGCTTTTTTTTTATTTATATCGATCATTTGATAGAGTTTGGCATGGAGGCTTATTTTTTAAAATTCAATGCTTTCTTTTCACCGTTTTCTAGATAAAACCTTATTTGAAAAACTCCATCCACAAATTTATCATGGCTCAGCTTTTTTGGATATTTTTTCAATGAATGTTAAGTTCCAAAAGGTGGTAAAATAAAAATAATTTTACAAATCACTACTACAACATATTTGGACTTTAGGTCTACAACTAAAAAAAAATCTGTTCTCAATAAAATACTAACATTTTAAAATAGCTTATATTTCACTTATTGTTTATAACTTTACAAATATAAATTAGAATGACCTCCATATCACAACAATTCACAAATAACTTTTTAAAATTGATTTCAAAACTTGAAAGCCATGATAATCAACGTAAAACAAATTTACACATCCAAACCCTTTTGTGAAAGCCTGGTGTGAGGTTAAAGAGGAGATAGAAATAGGGCTTCATTTAGTATTGCTACACTAACTTTATAAATCAAAATTAAAGTAATGTAGCTAAATAGCTATACTGGCATCTCTAATCAAGCTTATCATAACTATTAAAATCAAATATTCTGATTGTACATTGCATATATTATACGGTAAGTTTTAATTTTTTATCTAAGAGGACGCTACAGGAGCATTTGTTGTCTCTGTCTTACCAACGTACAATATGGCAAATTTTACATTCACAATAATACATTTTATTCTGCAATTTCAAAAATTACAGTGAATTTACCTAATTTACAAAATATTTACAGTTTGAAATGTTCATAATTTACTTAAAAATAATAAAATTTTCAAAGGTACCCCGGATAATATTTTGGCCTTTAAATTGTATAATTCACTTTAATTTTAGAAATTACAGAGTAAAATGTATTATTGTGAACGTGGAATTTGCAACGTTGTAAGTTTGTGAGACAGAGACAACAAGTGTCTGTTTGGTATCCTCTTAAAGTATAATGTTCATAGCATAGATTATATGACAAATTAACTATATGATGATGCATAACTAGTGACAGCTCAGGAAACCATATTCAGCTAAAGTCTACTATTAATTTTTAATATTTTACTAATTAATATTATTTAAAAGAATATCCTCAAATGTGAAACAGGCTCAAAAATATTTAAAAAAAAGCAATACTCGAAAAACAATTGTTCCACGACCTCAACAAAAAAAGGTCTTTTACAGCACATAGAAACCATAATCTTGTTGTTCCACTTAACTACAGCTTATGACATGATTGACATATGAATAGAACAGTATTTTTAAGGCTTCAAAATATTTAATTAAGCTTTGCATGCTTCATCCTCACTGCTTATGTGCATAGTACATACCCCTTACAAGCATTAATTTTGAAAATAGGTAATATGGTAGTGTGATAAGGTGGTTCAGTACTAAGTGTATCACTAAACCAATTACTTCTGTCAGTCTTATGCCTTTTTTTTCAATACAGCCAGTCATAGAAGTCATTGCAGTATCTCGGATAATAATTTTGAATAGATGGTATCCATATAATATGGTAGGATCCATATAACTCATTTAACATGGTCCTTACAAATCACCTACAGAGTAAAATGTGTACAACTGTTGTTATTTGATTAAATAAGATTTAAGAAAATGACATTGAAATTATCTAAAAAAAAAGGAATACCTAAGCACCTACCAAAAAAAACTGACCAGTTGCATTGTTCAGGGAACTTAATACATCACTAATATTAGTAGTGTTCTAGTTTTAGTCACAGACTTATTAAAGATACTTGAGCTTTGCTGCGATACTTAACAGTGGGTAGTTACGTAAATATTAGGTACCATGGTTCGTTGTGCTGCTTCAACTTTGGCGGTCTCGATTATATCATCTACAAAAACATTGGCGGCCGCCACCAACTGTGGATCGTCAATGGACTCGTGCATTACAGCCATGGCGATGTCTGTGGAAGTAATTCAACCGTTTGAAGAAAAATAACGATGTAGTATTTTTTTTTATGGTTCAAACGATGGTTAAACGAAATAGAAATGGGTTTTGGTTATGAAATGATCACAAATACAGTAGAGTAAGTCGTAAAGATAACTATACAAATTGAAACGTTCAATCGATATAATATACTAATCTCATCATGGTCATAAATATTAAACTGTATGTTATCAAGTTGTAAATTATTTACTAATTATTATTATTTGACTATTATTATCATTATTATATATTATTATAACTGCTTATGAACATTGGGACAGTATCTGTAGTTCCACAAAACATTTGTTCCAAACATTTTTGGAACAAATGTTTCATGGAAAAAGTGGTTACTCCAAAATTTGAAATTGTTTTTATAGAAACAACTATAAAATATTTTATATTTTCGTAAATACATTTTATAACATCGTTTTGGCGTTTACCATCAATATTATACCAAATAAAAAACGATTAAATGACTTACCAAAAAAATGTATTTGCGTGAGTCGATACAATTTTCAGTTACCGCTTAGTTGTTATTTTAACTAACCGTTCGGACTTCACTTTCTAAGTAAATATTTGTTTAACCTATAATTATTTAATACCGGAAACGCAACACTTCGCAATATTTAGTACTTACGTATCAGATACATAAAGGTTGGTAAATTTATTACATATAACTATATAAGTAACTATATTAATAATTATAGTATAAATAAAAATAAGTAGGTATTAAACTATTAACCTAGGCGTATAACTTTCGTATGAAAGAGGGGTATCAGTGGGAAAAAAACCCTATATGGCTATAACGTATTACGTATACATATACCTTTGTAACAAATAGGCCATAGGCGGTTAAGCCGTTTAAGGAATTTGAAATGGCCGAAAAAAAATTGTAATTCTATAATCACGGCTATTACGGCTAGGTATTACAATTATACATTATAGTTAGGTGTAAATAAATTACTTGAGTTGCAAAGTAATGTATAGGTGCATATAGGTAATTTTTAATAATTAAATATTATAAAACTGTCTTCTTTTCTTTTTCCAACAATTCATCTATATATCTATATATAAACTAAATGTATTATTATATATTATATTACCTACTTATTCATCATCAGCAGTGATTTATAACAGAAGTACCCTGTTTTATATTATCATCAGCGTGTGTAGACCTAGTTTAACAAGAAGTAATGATGATTAGGACAAT